CCCGCCGCACGCAATGCATCATGCGTCGCCTGCGTGGCAGTTGCATGCTGCCCACCCGAAGGGGCATTGCGCCCGCGCCCCAAGTTCGTTTCGACAGAGCCACTTAATTCATTTCGTATTTAAGCATAAATTTTCCCATTTTATAACGCTCATCATTTTTCCATTCGTCTTATAAATTTTCCTCCCAACCCAGCAGGGGTTCCCCATGTGCCTGTCTGTTCAATTGTTTTCGGCACACAAGCAGGACGCATGCACTAACTGGTTTTGGCAGGTGTTATCTAAAAATAATCATAGCACTCAACACATTTCCAAGAAAAGTTTCCATAAGAGATAGCGCTAGAAAAATGTACAAAATTTTGTTTCGCCGAAAACTTCTTCAATAACTCACAAGGAATTAATATATAATATCTTAAGAGCTTTAGGTATTATCGTTTTCTAAAGCATTATAAATTTAATTAATTACTAGTCTATTTACAAGTTACGATTGATTATTAGCTCAAAGTGCTAATAATGACGACATGATTTCATGAGGTATTCTAAATTTAGCACCTGTCTAAAATTAGAAAAACTTATATGTGGGAGATTCCCTATAAAACATAAGCTGCTGGCTTATTGACGTCATGCACTAATCAGATATAAATTGATAAAAAAGCAGCCCAGTTAGACTGAAACTCCATGCCAGCTGTGGAGTGGGATCACGCTGTCTGGTTGGGCTGCACGAGTGCCAAATCTGCCTGGAGCATGCCAGAAGCGCATGCTCATGCTCACACAATCCCCTAGACCGGGCCGAACTGTTTGCTCACGATATTTGGCTGCAAAGGCGATAAATACGCGCATTTATTGCAGAGCCAGAAGGCGCCTAATCTAAAACAAACAAGTCGCTTTTCACATAAATATAGATAGGTATATCGGCAGCCGGTAGGAGGAGGGGCGGGGGGCCGTCGGCTTGCCCAGTTAGTCATAGCTCCTCCGAGTGCTCCTTCGGGCAGACAGCTCACTCTGAGTGCTAATATGAGTTAATTAAAACACGTAGTCAACAAGTGTCTCTGGCCTCAGTCGCATTTCGAATATTATCACAATCAAATATTGTTGACATCAATTTTTCCATTGATCATTATAAGAAAATTTGCCACTATTAATCTTAAGCTATTCGAATGTTATTCACTCACTTGTGATTGCTTTGATTAGTTGTCGCTATTTTTGGCTTCAAATATTCAAATGTTCAACTTTGTAAGCTGACAAGGTAATTGCCATTTGCTCAAGTCAATTGGTAAATAAATTTTCTAAACGATCTCATATGTTTTTGTTTTGTTCCGACAGCTTTCGCACAGCTTTTTTTTGCAAGACTACTAACCCTGCCGTTGATCATGGCGAGATTATGTCGTCCGAGCGGGCACCATAAATAGAAAAATCCATAAACCTAAGAGAGAGTGCGCAGGTGCCTAAATGGCTAAGTCAAAGTGCGCACAGTGGGGCAAAAAAAAGCAAATCCGCAAAAATCTGTGAAATTTATTAAGTTTCAACTTTTCCCTTTCTAGCTATATGAAATGTTAAAATATTGTTTACACGCAAGAATATGGAACCATTCACAATATCCAAGTTTCGTTTAGATATTTTGAAAACAAAATGTTGTCCAAGCAGCAATAAAATTTCGACCCATTACGTCTTAGGCAACTATTTGTACTAGTTCGGTCGGGCAGCTTCCGGCGACATTGCTTTATCGACTCGACTATTTAATTGATCAACAATATGAATATTTATACACACTAAATGCATGTCTACAGCAAAATCTCACATTGATTGGTCCAAAGTCAGAACTGACTTTCAGCTTACATTATTTTTGGCTAGCGTTTAGGTAAACAAGTTGTTTACTTGTTTTAAGTGAATCATTCTCTCAATATAATAATGCTCGTTTTACTTTCTGACATGCATTAGGCCCACCCCCGCCCTAACCCTAGATAATTTGCCTATCTTTGTAAATTTTTGTTAGACTTAACCGTGGAATAAATAGTATTTAAAATATGTATCTAAGCATAATTAAAGTTGTTTCCATAATAATAGTAACAGTAAAAAATAAAATAAAATTTCCCCAATGTTATAAATAAAAGACTTTAATTCATCTTTATAGGCAAAATGCGTGTAGCATGTTTTCCGGTGTAAAATAGTTCTATAAATTCCCTGCGCTGTTTTGCGTTCATTTTATTTTTTAAGCGATCCCAAAAATATGCTTTCATTTTTAGCTGAATTAATTCAGAATTTACTGAATTGTGTTGTTCGACTTAAGTTGTATTGTAATTGAACACATATGCTTAATTAAAGCTCTTCCCTTAATAACAATAAAAGATACAAATTTAAAAAATAAATAATCAACTGAAATGAATGCCTCTGTTTCAACTATTACTATAAATATAATTAATTAATTATAAATATATTTTAAGTTGTAGTCAATCAAACGTTGGATTTTGTGCATTTTTCCATATTTCTTGCGTATAGACAATATTTTAACATTTCATATAGCTCGATTTGCTTTCTTTTGCCCCACTGTGCGCACTTTGACTTAGCCATTTAGGCACCTGCGCACTCTCTCTTAGGTTTATGGATTTTTCTATTTATGGTGCCCGCTCGGACGACGACGTAACTCCGTTAATCATGGCGATATTATGTCGTTTTCAAACGACATAACTCCAGCGGATTATGATCGGAGTTATGTCATGGCGATATTATGTCGTTTTGAAAGGACATAACTCCAGCGGATTATGATCGGAGTTATGTCATAATCCGCTGGAGTTATGTCGTTTCAAAACGACATATCGAACTCCGTTAATCATAGCGATATTATGTCGTTTTGAAACGACATATCGAACTCCGTTAATCATGGCGATATTATGTCGTTTTGAAAGGACATAACTCCAGCGGATTATGATCGGAGTTATGTCATGGCGATATTATGTCGTTTTGAAAGGACATAACTCCAGCGGATTATGATCGGAGTTATGTCATAATCCGCTGGAGTTATGTCGTTTCAAAACGACATATCGAACTCCGTTAATCATGGCGATATTATGTCGTTTTGAAAGGACATAACTCCAGCGGATTATGATCGGAGTTATGTCATGGCGATATTATGTCGTTTTGAAACGACATAGCTCCAGCGGATTATGATCGGAGTTATGTCATAATCCGCTGGAGTTATGTCGTTTCAAAACGACATATCGAACTCCGTTAATCATGGCGATATTATGTCGTTTTGAAACGACATAACTCCAGCGGATTATGATCGGAGTTATGTCGCTTCAAATCGAGATAATATCGCCATGATTAACGGAGTTCTATATGTCGTTTCAAAACGACATATTTTCTTCTGAGCATATGATTTAATAGCTTGCTGATGGCATAGATATTGTTCTTCTAAGCGTCTTAAATTCAACAAAACATTGTTAATTTTATTGAATTTAATAATTAGAAGACTATTCAATCAGAGCAATAAGACTGGGTAGCAGCTCAATTAAGAACCCGTTTCTAGCTTTAAGTTTGGTGCATTTATTTATACACTATAAAGATATATCAAAGACATAGACATATCTTTGGTAAGTCGAAGATTAAATACCCTTACTGTTCGCCTAATTGTTGATCTTCAAGTTGAATACTGATCAAGATTATATATTTATCACGTCACAAGAGATGACAAATGATTTAAAGCCCTCAACGATGCGTATTAATTCGTCTTGATCGTGAAGAGCATATTAAGCCCTAACCGAAGATCCGCAAAACTGCATATTTTATGTGGCTCTAAGAATGAATCACAGCTGTTTTGTGAATGCACCTAGTAGAACATCTGTAACCAGTTCTGCCTTCAAGCGAACTGGGGGCAATCCCCTCGATCTATATACCCAGACTCGCCTAAGCGTGCGACTTTTGTGACGTTTTAGTACGAACAACGCAGAATTGACAATCAATACCAAAATATCTGGCCTGGGCCTTGCTTATAAACACGCGACGGGTCGTTTGACGCTCTCAGACGCATTTCGGTTTTACAGTCGATCGGACAAATTCGTGGCTGTCGCACACAAAAATATGGAAACTTCCCATTTATTCGGTTGGTTTTTTGTTTTATTAATTGATATAAAAAGAAATGAAATCTTGAAATCAAGCAGCTAATCAAATTACCGATTGCAGCTTTGTTTTTGCTGCTCGCAGGGGTAAACGCCTATCCGCAATTCCCGGACTGGAATGCACGGAATCCCGATGACCAGCTGCTGAATACCTTCATCAGTGGGCAGCCGATTAGACCTACCAGCTCGACGACAACGCCTCAGCCAACAACAGCATCGCCTCGCGTCCTGGCCTGCATCCAATCCTGTCCAGCGACCAGCGAATATAATCCCATTTGCGGCAGCGACAATGTTAACTATTATAATGCGGGACGTTTCGACTGCGCCGTTCGCTGTGGTCAAAGTGCGTTTTATTCTTACGAATTTGCCAAAAAAAAGGAAAAAATTTATTTAATAACTTTTATTTTTAGATGTTCGTCGTTTACACTTGGGAATCTGCAGCACAACGTAAAGCACACAGCTGAATGGGAATTTTAATTCTTCCAGCAACTAGTCTGTTCCACAATCTACAGTTCAATGCTTAATGAATGACCTTTAAAATAAAATGAATAAGTGAATAAAAACAAGCGAGCACTAATTAGGCGACTATGCTTGACCAACTGATACCCTGTACAAAAAATAAATAAAAATACTTTTACATTTATATGAATCAGCCAATAATAAAGGCAAATCTTATTTGAAATAAATTTCAGTAATACGAGAAATGGATCGAGGAGCGTTTCTAAGTTGTAGCTGCTATAATCAATAGCATTTTGAACTTAAGTCGCGTCACTCAAGTGCATACCCAGCCAAGGCCATTTTATAGGGTATAACAAACAGATTGATCAACTGAGATTTCAATGTTCACACTCTCGCATTATTCGCCGCTTGTCTAATGTGTAAAAAGCCGATGCCAAACAGTCGTAGTCTAAACGTTTTGCTGTTTGGTGCGTTTCAAGTGAGGGATTTACAAAACAAAATAAATAAAATACACACAAAATGCTGAGACCAGGGCTATTTCACATAGGCCGTAAGTTGAATATTCCCACAATTTATGTAGTTGTAATTTTTTTTTACATATGAGTATCTACAGTGTTGTTGTTGCTGTTGGGCCAAGCGCTGGCCATTGACTACTCCAATCCCAAGTCGCAGGTGGAATATATAAGTGCGCAGCCAGGAGACAAGCCGAACATTGTGCCAATAACGCGGCCTCCTTTGCTCAATCAAACACCGCCACCGCCGCCAGGCAATTCCAAGAATTTTGCATACAATCCTAAAAGTCAAACCTGGACAAAGATTGATGCGCACGATCCACAGCCGGATGAAGATACATTGGTCTGGAATCAAAGCAATGATAAATGGCTAACCAGGGTGCCGGGATCTTAGCCAAGAACACGCAACAATATTCGCGAACACGCACGCAACTTTCGATTAAATCAACATGACACGCACAAAAATGTATATCTCAAGCAAAGTGTTAATCAAATTATTTACTTTTATTTTATTTTCAATATAAGTATATATATAACAGAAAAACTTCTGAAACGCACAATGCCAACAAACCGTTGAAAATATCAATTTATCGATAAATATCGATTTCAGTCTTTGGAAAACATATTTTAACCAATGCTTTTTTGTGATTTTCCTCAAATATACGTTGTTTAATGTTCTTTGATACACTCTGATTCAAATCAATGAAAATCCCTTTTATAGTTAGATAATCGATATAAATCGTTTCCGAGCGATTGTCTCAATATCTTATCTGATATCTAAGACTAATCGATTCTTTGTCAATTTAAATAAACGGAAATTGATAAATCGGTACGCGGTAAATTGAAAATCTGGTAATCCTTGAAGAATCGTTTGATCTTTTGAAAAGGAAGCCTTGCAATTGGATGCAACCGACTGCGTGATACACCTTCACAGCAATTGATAAGGAGCTGTCGCGCTTAAAGATTATATTACACTTCAACCCTCAGTGTCGCAAAATTATATTGCTTGCATGAAACGAGGTTACAGCAAATGAATTTCAGTTGCATAGTCTAATTGAGCATATATGATTATGTTTGCAGCTATTGCATATATTATACTTTATACGATAAATACAGCTACATAGTATACATGTAATTATGTCAACGATGATGACGCAGTGTCTCCGTTGTCGAGGCCGGCGTGGGCGTTTGCTGTTGCCTCATGCGGCACAGTTCGTTGGCGCTGTAGTTCAGCTTGCGCAGCGCGGTCTCCGTGAATTTATCGAACTTGGCTGTGAGCTGGGCAATCTGATCCTTGAGCACTTGCAGCTCGACGCGCCAGTCGTTCGGCTTCAGTTCGTGCTCCTGGCGCAGCTGCTGCGGCACATTTGTAGCGGAACGCGGACGCAGCAGCTCGTTTACCTGGAAGTACTGGGTCTGTGTCGTATACGGAGTTTCGAGTTGTTGTCGTTGGGGCGATGCCTTGGACTCCGCCCTGGAGCCCGCCTGCTGGCGCTGGCGCAGACTGCGACTGAACATGTGGTAGTTCTTCTCGAACTGGCGCCGTCGCATGCTCATGTTACGATCACGCCGCTCCGCCACCAGCTTGTATATGTTCAGCTTGATGTCCTCCGGCAGCTGGGAGCGATCGCGCGGATCATTTGGACGCACTGTGAACTGCAGGCGGTCGCGCGAGGTGCGCAACAGAGCCTTGCGCTTACAGTAGTTCACAAGTGGGGCATTGCGCAGCAGCCTGGAAAAGAAGAGACTCTCGAGGCGCGATATCAACTCCGCCTGTCGCACCAGTCGATCCAGCGTGGCGGACACCTGCAGGCCCTGTATATCGCTGACGGCCAGGCCCAGCATCAGGTTGGTCAGTATAACCGTAACCAGCAGCACGAAGGCTAGAAATATGATATGAGATGTGACTGGAAACTTGACCGCATAGTCGCCATAGAAGATATCCTCGAACTCCAGCTCGCCGGACATCATGGTGAATGACTTGAGGAAGGACCATGTTATATTCTCGAAGGCCGGATAGTCGTTGAAGAGCACCGCGAAGCTCAAGCCAAAGGCAATCAGCAAACAGATGTAGGCCATCAGGAACTTGCCAAAATTGACAGCGACTGCAAAAGGATTCTGTTATTTTTGTTGCTGGAAAGTTGAGCTTCTACTCCATACCCTTGGTAAACATTTGCACATAGACGCCAAATATGGGAAAACGACCCACCAGCATCATCAGCTCCAGCCAGACCAGCAGAATGACCACCGCAGCCACATGATGCTGCCACATGGGCACTGCCAATAGATCGCCGGTCCATAGTATTTCTGGTGTCTGAAAATAGATGAATGAAGTGTTCATTTTTTGGATACCATAGATTAAATAAAACTGGGCAAGTATTACAGATTACGAGAGAACAATTAAAAATAGCATAATTATAAATTGTATTAAAGAATTTTATTGTTTATTAGAGTACTACATACCACACAGAGGAGCACACCGAAGACAATGGTCCATTGCAGCCAGTTTTCCCAGTACTTGGCATAGCCGTGCAGGCCGTGCGCCATTTGGAAGAGCTCCTTGCAGAGCAGCATGAGATTCAGGACAATCACAAAGTAGCCAATGGTGGTCACATAGTCGGGTGCCAGGCACGTCTCGCCCTCCTTGCAGCAGCGCACATAGACACCGATCACGTAGAGGGTGAAGAGCATCACGAAGCAGGTGTGATAGGCGAGGCTCATGAGAAAGAACTTGCGTATGCGGCGCCACTTGAGGAATAGAAAGGTTTCGCATAGCGGATGCATAAGTATGCGCTTCTGGCCCACTTCGATGAGGCTCAACATTAGCTCCGCCTCGCCCTTTTCCGTCGATGAGCTGGGCACAAGCAGATGAAAGTCCAACTTAATTTGACAATCGACATCGCCAATCTCGTGATCATTGGCCTTGATCGAGCTGTCCAGCTTGTGCATTAGCTTGGGTATTATCTCCGGACAACGCCGGACAATGAATGTCAGAGCCGTTGTGTGTCCGTCGGTGCGAGCCGTCAGATCTGCGCCATGTTCTGTAAAGATCTGAAGTTAGAAAGAATCTCAGGCTATGCATATTACCTACCTATAAAGATGTAGACACAGCTGCTGAATTCGTTGAGGGCGGCAATATGCAGGGGCGTGTATCCATAGTCATCCGCTTTGTTGACATCGGCGCCGGCCTTTAGGAGCGCATTGCAGCAGTCCAGGCAACGCGACTGCTTCACGATGGCGGCATGCAGAGCGGTGCGTCCGTCCCGATAGACGGCATTCACATTGGCTCCGTGCTTCAGCAGAATCTCCACGCTGCTTATCGACTGGGAGAGGCAGGCCAGGTGCAGTGGTGTCTGTTGGCTGGCATTGCGACAGTTCACATCGGCGCCGTGCTCCAACAGCAGCTGCACACACTCCGCATAGTCATTCTCGGCGGCTGCACGATCACCCAAATGTCAGTTTGCACACTTCAAAGTAAATCCCAACACCCAACACGCTGCTTACCCAAATGTAATGCCGTCACCTTGCCTTCGCCGAACTGGGAGCGCACATCGGCATTGTGATTCAGCAGCAGCTGCACGCATTTGGTGAATCCGGATGCGCAGGCGGTATGCAGCGGTGTCTCGGTGTACACCTGCGGTGTGTTCGGATCGGCGCCATACTTTAATAGAGTCTCCACACAATCGACCGCATCGCCGTCAATGGCATAGTGCAGGGCCGATCGCCTGTTGATGCCAATGTTGATATTCGCTTTGCGTCTCAGCAGCAGTAAAATGCACTCCACGCTTTTCGAACTGAAATTATGAGAGGATTTGCATAGTTAGATTTGATCAGGTTCATTGTAAAGTTCATGTCAATTTTCAAGCGGGTCAATTTACCGTTTTCCATCTGCTGTGTAACAAAATAAAGAGAGTTTACAATTATAATCCAAATAAAGTTGAAATTACAAAAAGATTAAAGCAATGCATTTGATTCAGCCGGATAAAAAAAGTAGAATGAAGATAAGGTCTCTTGGAACTTTTGACACTCAGATGCATCTAAAGGTGTAAAGGTGTCAACACCTTTTTACAATGTAGACAATGTGCCTTGCAAATATTAACACTCGGATTAAAAAAAATGTACCCAAGACTAAGTTTATCTAGAATAGGTTAAGCGCCTGACATATTTTGGATCTATCTTTTCTTTCTAATCGAGAATAAAACAAAATAAATGTGATATGTCGAGGACTGATTTTAGATAGTTTTCAAATATGTCAAGGCCCCAGTCTACCTTGGATTTGAAAAGCCGGGAGATATTTCATATTTGGACTCAATTCACCTGGCAGCGCAATGCAGCGGCGTCACCTCCTTCTTGTCCTCCCAGCGATTGGGATCGGAGCCACGATCGAGCAGAACTTTGGCTATGGCCGCATTGGCGCGACAACAGGCAAAGTGCAGCGGGGTGCGACCGCGGCTATCTGAGGTGTTTGGATCGGCATTGTAGTGGGTCAACAGGTATATGATATTCTCCACGGAGCCGTAGATGGCACAGCATATTAGAGCCAGGTTGCAATCACTCGGCTCGATCATTAGCTCTGCAGAGCAGAGTGGAAAGAAATGAAAAACTTAATTGCGAACCATTGCCAGACGCGCTCGCTCACCCAGAAAGCAACCGGATTTGACCATGTCCAGAATATGCGCGCCATTTGGCACCGCGCAGAGCGTCTCCTCGATCTCCTGCGGCTGCCAGAGCACCTGGCTCTGCTGCTGGCGTGTGAAAATCTCATGGGCCTCATTGCTGAAGACGGCATCGCTGTTGGCCTCGCTGGAGATGCTGCGCTTATCAAACAGCAGTTCCATATCGACCGTCTCGCTCTCCGACTGCCATTTCAGATCGTTTTCCTGCCAAGACAAATAAACGAAACAGAGTGCCAGACAGAGATGGGTGTACGGGGGAATTGGTGGGCACTTACGATGATGGAAAAACGCACATTCTCCATTCTGTTGATGTGTTTACACTTTTGTGGCCTACAAAATAAACTAATTGGTTGACCATACGGCTTCTGGCCACAGCATTAACATCATATGTGTCCGCCAGCTCATTCATGCATTCTCCATCTCATGCCACATACATTTTCCGTTCCCGCCTGCAATCAATCTTTTGATCTGCCTGTCGTCATCAGCTCAACAGATTCGCAGCTTCTTTCTGGGTTGCTCTGTTTTTCTTGCCTCTCGTATATGGTTTGTTTATTTGGAAATCTCCAAAATATTGAATTGTTTTTCAAACCAACACACGCTGTACGTGCAAATTATTACACCTCCGCCCCTTCTACCCTGTCGATCCCGCTGCTGCTCGCTGGCTGTTCAGTTTTTCCAGCACTTCTACCGTTATTCGCGTTCCGTGCTCGACGAGGTGCTAATGTGTACTGGCTGTGGGAGCTGTCGGATCGATATGCCTGCACCAAATTTTGCCTCATATATATATTCTTTTTGTGCTCTTGTATACCCTGTAATTATTCAAGCTCAGTACAAGAGAAAGTATAATTAAGTTCAACAATTTTCAATTGAAGAAAGTATCTTTGATTTCTCAAAATTAGTTGGCTGACTTTTCATGAGCGCAGCATTTTTTTATTTTTTTTGTATTAATCTGGAGGAAAAATAGTTTCTTTTTTCGATTCTACTACTCAATTTTACAATTTAATAAGTTTT